CCAGTTATATGAAATGTCCAGAATAAGCAAGTTCATGGAGATAGAATGTAGATTAGGGGTTTCCAGGTGCTGGGAGGAGGGGGGTGGGAAGTGACCACTGATGGGTATGAGTTTTTTTTCTAGGGTGATGAAAATGTTCTGGAATTATTAGATAGTGATTTTAGTTGAGCAACTCTATGAATCATATTGAATCATACACTTTAGAAGGGTGAATTACATGGTGTGTGAATTACATCTAAACAACTCCAATTCTGTACCAGTCTTAATAAATATTAATAAAGAGCGCCTGGGTGGCTCAGTTGGTTGAGCGACTGCCTTCGGCTCAGGTCATGATCCTGGAGTCCCTGGATCGAGTCCCGCATCGGGCTCCCTGCTCGGCGAGGAGCCTGCTTCTCCCTCTAACCCTCCCCCCTCTCATGTACTCTCTCTCTCTCTCATTCTTGCTCTCTCAAATAAATAAATAAATCTTAAAAAAAAAAAATAAATAAAAATAAATAAATAAATAAATAAATAAATATTAATAAAGCTTCACTGTGTCTACAATGGCCCCCACTGTCCTCTAAGATCTGGCTCCAAACATCCAGTTTTATCCCCTACTCTGCCCCCTTTAAGGAAGTCCTACTCTCCCCTCCTCCTTGTCTTTGTTCCCACTGCTTCCTGCTTCCCTTGCATCGCTCCACACCTGAATCCTACCCCCAGGGCTGCAAACCAGTGGAGCTCTATTCCATCTACAGTCGAATAGAGCCTGCAGATGGGTTCACAGTGGGGGTTTGGGGGTTTGGTCTTTTAACTGAATTAGTTTCCAAGAGGAGATTTCACACAAATGTGGGTATTCTGGCTAAGACAGATTCTGCTGGCTGCTGATCCAACAACCATGCTCCCCTTCCTCCCTGTTAAGGGAACCAAGTCCACCTTAGTGGATGAACCATGTCATCCCACTTATCTCTGCAGGAATTGGTCTGGGTTGCTACTGGAGCAGTCAGAGCTCCGAGCCACAGGCAACGGAGAAAAGCTCTAGCTGTTTGAACAGAAAATAGTTTATTACGTGTCATAAGCCAATTGACTGTAAAGTTAATGAAGCTTAAGTTTGGGGGCCCTCCCTTGCACGGCCCCCCTATGAATTTCTAGGTTAGGTAGGGAAGGCAGGCTATAACCAGTGGGCATTTCTACATGAACATTTCTGGAAAATACCCTAAAGGTATCCAGGAGAATGGGACCTGAACTTCCCAAGGTACAGTATTTAGTATGATTTCTCTACTCATTTTAAATAAATGTTCACTTTCATACTTAATTTTCCATGTTAATGAATTAGATGATCCAGATGTTATAATTAAAGACAAGGATTTTAAAGCAGCTATTATAGCTATGCTCAAAGTGGTAAATGAAAATATGCTCATATTGAATGAACAAAAAAATCCCAGTAGAGAAATAGAAACTATTTAAAAAATTATATAGAACTAACTGGAAATTCCAAAACTAAAAATTCAAATATTTGAAAGGAGGCTGGAAGAGTGAGTCTCCAGGATTCTACCCTGGAGGGGTAGGATCATGAGGCTAAAAATTCTTCAAACATAGCCAGGGTGTTCAAGGGCACCAGACAGTCAGAAAACATGGCAAGTGTCCTCTAAAACCTGTGACCCAGTTCTGTCTAATGAAACAAAATGGAGTGTCCTGATAAAAAGAAAAGTACGAGAAGGAATGACCTCGTCTCCTCCACTCTTCTTTCTGCCTTGAACTGCTGTGTCATGAGAACATGATGATGCTTGGCGTTATGGCAGCCATTTTGCAACCTTGAGGAGTAGTAGTGAGAAGGGAGACATAAAAGCTAAGCCAGAGCCCTGATACTGCAGATCTGCTGAATATACTACAGAAGCCCTCACCTCTGGATTTCTTGTCATGTGAGATAAGAAACTTCTCTTAATTGGGTATTTAATTCTCTTAATTGTTACTTATAGCCAAAGTACACTAACTAAAACACAGCTTCTCTTGAAAACGGAGAGATCTGGCAAGACCAGACCTACTAGCCTCTTAGACAAGGCAAGAGCTCTCTAGTCATGGACTTGCTTGGTCCCCACAGGCAAGTGAGTTTGCAATCCCTGCCTTATACATCTTTGAGAGATGAATCAACTGCCCTCTCTCCTACAAAGCCCTCCCTGTCTCCGGCCTCCCCGCAACCCCCACCCCACCTGGCTAGAAGTAATCTTCCTCTCTTTGGAATTCCCACAGTTTTGTGGCTGTGTCCATCTCCTGTTGTAATTGTGCGTTTCATCCCCTCCCACTTGGCTGTCAGCCTTCTGAGGGCAGGAACTGCGCCTTATTCATCCCTGTATCTCCCTCTGCCGTCTAGCAAGGTACCGAATACAGGACACACTCAATGCATGTTTTCTAAATAAATGCATAAACACCCCCTGCAGTGAAAAATGTCAGTGTTCTGCAACACCCCATTCTCCAAGCTCACCAAGGAACTTTTAACTGGTGACCTGGGCTTCTTCTCAATCTAGGAAAACAGTATCCACCATACCCCAAAACTCCAGCGACCCCTGAACCTGAACTCTGTTCAGCCCTCAGCCCCAGTGACCCAGAGTGCACCTGTGACAGTCCACTCTGAAGCCTGGGCCTGCCTTAGCTCCCCCTTTACTCGGGAGGCATGTTGGGATAAAGGTGATATTCCCAGGATAGTCTGGGAAAAGCAGCCAATCACCACAGACTCCAGGAAAGGATGAAAATGTACACACATGCAAATCTCTGAAAGGCCAGGCAACCTGAAAACACGTACAGCAATTATAATTCCAAATGGGAGGGAAGGCAGCTCAAGGTTCTGCCTCAGGGGGCTGTGTCCCACAGAGGACAGGGACCTGCGGAGCACCTCAAGTTGCTAACAAATCCTGAGCAGCATGACTTCCTTTTATATCAGTCCTGGATCTAACTTAACCTTGCACATGCTTCTTGAACTGGTGGTTGATTTGTAGTTCCAGCTTTTGGTAGGTTCTCTGCTGGTCCCTAGTTCTTGTCTCTAAACTTGTTTGTTTTTAATTTTGGTAAAAAAACACATAACATAAAGTTTTCCACTTTAACCATTTTGAAGTGCGCAGTTCAATGGTGGTAAGTACACCCCCACTGTTGGACAACCGTCACCACTGTCCATCTCCAGAACTTTCTCATCCTCCCAAACTGAAACTTCGTACCCATTAAACGCTAACTCTCCATTGTCTCTTCCCCTGGGTCCTGACAACCACCATTCTACCTTCTGTCTCTATGAATTTGACACCTGTAGGTATTTCCCATAAGTGGAAAGTATTTGTCCTTTTGTGTCTGGCTTATTCACTTAGCGTAAGGTCCCCAAAGTTCATCCATGTTGTAACATGTGTCAGAATTTCCCTTCTTTTTAACACTGAATAGTATTCCACTACATGTGTATACCATGTTTTGTTTATCCACTCATCTTTCAGTGACATTTGGGTTACTTCCACCTTTTGGCTATCATGACTAACGCTACTCTGAATGTGGGTGTACAAATATGTTTAAGTCCTGCTTCCGGTTCTTTTGCGGACCTGGCCTCTGACTTTCCCCAAATCAGTCAAGATCCCGACCTTGGGCATGGAATTCTCTAGGCCAGTCTCTATTCCAATGGGAGAGAAAGAGAAGCCTGGGCTGGGCTCTCAGGTGATGCCATGAGAAACGTTCTGGAGCCAGAGCTGAACTGGCCGAGAACTCCAGAGCAGGTTCCTGGCCCCTCCTGATGGGAGGGCAAATCAGGCACAACGTGGCAAGAAGCAGAGAAGAGTGGGACGTCCCCTCTGCCCCTGCGGGAGGAGACACATACCAGTGCATGGAGGAGAAGAGCAGGACAAGGAAGGCCTCTGTTCCCCAAAAGGGCAGGCATGCAGCAGAGGAGGCCCCAGACACTCAAGAAAGGGCAGCCCAGGCTGCAGGGGCAGAGGTTATGAAAAGGATGGGGATGCCAGGACTAGTGCTATTCAGAAGACCTCAGTTACAAGGGTCCCGGCGTGCAGATGGGGGGGGGGTTTAGGGTGGGGGAGGGGGAGCAGGAGGAGGCTGGAATATTCTCATTTGACAGATGGGCCTCAGCTCAGCCAACTCCTGAAGTCCAAGAGGCACAAAAGCAGAAATCTGAAGGGCTGGTGAGGCAGGGGCTTGAGGGTGCATCGTGGGTCCATGAACTGGCCTTCCGAGCTACGTGCTTTTGAGTTTTAGTGGGAGGGTGGGCAGACTACAGCTGTGGGCAAAGGTGGGGTCTGGACACTTGTGAATCCCTCTCCTCGTCTGCCGTAAGCACCTTTCCACTGGCTACATGATATTTTTCAGTGCCCAAGTGTCTAGGTTCAGGTACCAAATGAGGACAGCCTGGTAAGGGCACAGCCACTGAAGGGAAAATTGATTGCTCTGTGGAACTCTGAACATCCTCAACTATAAAGATGACTTACATCACCCCTTCAATGCCAGGACCAAGGTATAGACTCAAGGCTCTCACTTTTGCCCGGACCAAATTTAGGGGCTTCTCTGATGTCCCAGGAGCCAAGAGGGACTGCTGGTGGGGGCACAGCTTCAAGACCTTCCCCTTTCGTGACTCCAACACAAGGAGCTTCCCTGATTTGATGCAGATGTTCCTGAAACCCACTCAAGCAAACTGGGGCTCTCAGGAAGAACTCAGAGGCAAGGCTGTCCCCTTAAATCCAGAAAACTCACCTTCCAGACTGTTCTGGGATCCCAGGAGTCTGTGAGGTCAGCCTGGACTTGGCCACAGTGACATGGATCTGAAGCCAGATCAAGGTGCCAAGGAGCCTGTTGGCTCAGCTTTTTACTAATGCTGGAGCCAGAGCCAAAGATGGCCTGATGTCTCCATGTTGTGGTGACGCAATGTCCCCACCAGCACCTCTCCTGCATACTGGGCTCCACAGCTGCTGAGAGCTGTGTACTACGTAGCCTCCCGAGCTTGGGAACTCAGGGCTCAGGTCTCCACCCTGCTCCCTAGTACTGACCAGACTGATGGAAGAGCCCATCCATGCTGAGATCCCATAGGAGACTAAAGGCTCCTGAAGAAGTTTCTGGAGGCCATGTCAACAGCTAGGAGGAGAGGAAAAAAAAAAAGCAGTTTAGGTTAGCTGGCATACCAGTAGTATGGTATAAGGGTAGTAAACCTTCATTGCTCCATATTAAATAAATCCCATTTAACCCTCACAAGTCCACGTGGCAGAAGGATATTGCCCTTACTGACATTTCACAGATGAGGAAATCACGCTCAGAGGGGTCAAGGAACTTCCCCAGGGTCACACAGCCAGTAAGCAGCAAAGCCAGGATTCAATCCCAGGCCTATGTGACTTGAAACTCTGTCCATCTCCCTGCATGAGAGTCTTGGTCCTTCTGCCCCTCACTCCCTGTGGCCACAGCCATGCCCCTCCAGGACAGGGGCCAGTGTGAGGAAGAGACATCGCTCGAAAGCACTAAGCACACTCAGCTGGACAATGACAAGTCAGCTACTCTCCATGATTCTTACATCCTTTCCAGGTCACTGCCTTAACTTACAGTCATCTTAGGCCACTGGCTCTGGGAAGGACTTGGTACTGAGTACGGATCCTCAAATAACCTGGTGGGGGGTGCAGGTCACCCATCTGACTCAAACTCACTGGGATCTTTACCTGAATGCTCCTTGAGTCTGAAGGTCATCAGGCTGGGGATTTGCAATGTGGAGAGAACATGACATGGAGATGAATAATGGGACAGTGCCCTCCCCCCGCAGGGCCATCCAGCCTGGGGACACACAGAGGAGGCCAGGCCTTAGAGGTGGGGCAGCGCCTTGGCAGCCCTGTTCCTGCCCGTGGTCAGCCATGCTGCACATTATACCATCCTTCTGAGAGTGCTGAGCAAAGCCTGTTGCGTGGACACTCTGGGCACATTCCCCTCTTCAGGCCTGAAGCTCTCATCCCCAGGGGCTGTTGCTTGCTGAGAGCTCTGAGCCAAGGCCCTCTCTGGCATTGACCTTGCAGGGAGGGAGCGCCTCAATCAAGGTCACACCCCCTCTCCGAGTGCAGCCTTAGTCTGCTATCTGGCCTGGCCAATACCGGAGTCCGAAGGCCTGGACCCCTTGCCTCAATTGGGACAACTCTAAAAGGTCACCCCGTTTCCAGAGTATCTGCAGAACTGGCTGTGGCCTGTTGAATTTGCTCTGCCACTCAGCTTCTCCTTCTCCCAGGGGCTCTCCCTCGGCCGGAGGTATGGCTCTTGGGAGCCCTTCCCAGGGAACCTCCAGGAAACCACGTCTCAGAGTCCTCCTCCAAAGGACCAGGCCTATGATACCAGAACTCTGCCTTCCTCTTCCTCTCATAGCTTCTTGTAACTTCTTCATACTTATCATTTTCCAACAAGAACATACATTCACTGACAGCATACGCTACCCGCTTTTGTCTACCCTCCCCAGCAAGGCTCACCTTGCTCCAGGTACACACTAGGGCTCCAGTGACGAGCTTAGTAATTCGTGAGCACTAAGGCCAAAGCCTATTCACCCAGGGTCCACCATACACTCCACTAGGGAGAGGGAGGGTGGTGGACAGCAGGATCTAGTTTCCATGGGAACTCAGGATGTCCTTCCCAAAAAAAGGTGAATGAGTGGGGCTGGGGAAATCTGCCTAGCTCACCTATCCCCTAGCTCTCAGATCAACCCCAGGCATATATATGAGCCCCCAGCTGCCCGTGACCCTACTCACTTAGCTACTTTTGATTGGACTGGGGAGGGGGGTTGTCACTTAAACTTTGTTGATCCAATAAGACTCTCCTTCCTGGGAATTACCTTGGCCATGGAGCCTGGTGAATAGAGAGAAACTAAGGCCTGTCCTGGGACCCTAAACCTTCCCCATCCTGGTTCCAGCTTTTCCTGAGGCCCAGCCATATCCCTGCCCTTGGATCCCAGGAACCACCCCTGCACCTTGAGGAGAATCCCACCAACAGCTTCAGGCAGCCCCCGTGGATTTCTGCCTTCTCCCAACCATACTCCCCACTAACAATGTGAGGTTCTGAAGTGGGTTGAGCACCACGGCCACATTCTGTGGCCACATTTACCTGGACACCATTTCCAAGATCTTTCTATCCCTAGAGCTTACTATGTAGCAGGGACTTGACCCATGCCTAAGAATGAATGAATGAATGAATGCTACTGTTACTACAGGAAGATATGTTCCAAGTGGCAAAACCTCCAAAGTGAAATAGAAAGAGTCCATCCTGCTAAGGCCTATAAGACCTCAGCTGCCCTGCTCCTCCTTCCCCCTCCAGAGACAAAGATGTTGGGTAGAGTCTTGCCCAGAAGGCTCCCAAGGCCAAGTGCACCCTTTTCACTTATCTGGCTTCAGCCGTGGGGGGAGGAGGAGCTTTCGTTTCTCCTTCCTGAAGGGGGAGAGCCAGAGCCTTTGTGCTAACATCATCCCTTTCCCATGATGTCCAGGCCCTGGGCCTTATGGACAAGGCAGGTCACAGGAATTCCTCACTTAGTCTTCACCTGGGACTGTCGGTCCCAGTTTACAAAGTAGGAAACTGAGGCAGAGAGCTGACATTAAACAACTCGTCCAAGGTCGCAGGGTAGTACGGGGCAGAGCTGGAACTCCCACCTAGCATCTGTCTGGCCTCGGGGCTGGGTCCTCTGTTCTACGGCCCCCTGCTGAGGTGACTGGAGGTGGGAGAAGAGCCAGCAGAGCCGGGCAGGGCTCACCCCCTGCTCCCGGGCTGACTGACAGGGAAGGCACTCCATGCTGTGTCAGGGTCACACAAGGACCCTCTGTGGGCGACGTCTCAGATGGGCCCTTTGTGCCTCCCAATGCCTGATTGTGCATTTGGCCATATACTGTGCAAGGAGCCGAGAGAAGCTGCGCTGACTAGGGGTAGAGAAGAATGGTAGCACTGTTCCTGTTCGAGGCCTGCCAGTCCCATCGAGCCTGGGGGAGGGGCGAGGGGAGCAGCCACACTCTGGGCCCCAGGAGCTGAGCGGGACTTTTTCCTCTGGGGCGGGGAGGGGCACCATGGGAAGGATCCCAGAAGGGAGAGGAGAGAGCTGGAGGGCCTTTTCTGGAAGGCAGCCAGTCTGCCTAGCCTGAGGAGTTCCTAGAACAATCCACCCTGCATGGTGGCTCTAATTTACAGCTGGGGTCCAGGCCCCAACTGGCAGGAATGAGACCAGCTGGAACTTGTGACCTGCCCATCCCCAGGCAGGGGTGGCTCTGGGTGGGGGCCAAGGCCGGCATCCTCATGCCTTGCGTTCAGATGATAGCAGTTGGTCCCTGGGTTATGCGGGCTGCTCTTCCTCAGGGTGGAGGTTTTAAGCCCGGGGCAGGATGTATGTTGCCCCAAGGCAAAACGTTCCAGCAGCCCGGGCAAGAGAAGAAAGGGGAAGACGGAGCAGCTGTTCTAGACTTTTCCAGGCACGCTACGACTCCACGGAGAGAGGCAAACGCTCAAACACCTGGGACACACCCAGCTGTAAATTCACGAGGGCCCCTCACACTTCCAAGGGAGCTGCAGGGCCCGGACCTGTGACTTGGCAGTAGCGAGCGAGGAGCAGTGCTGACACAAGGGAAGCACCTGCTGAGTAGCGGGGAGTCAGAGAGAGGGCTTCTGGTGACACAGGCCACACGGCGTGAGGCACACGCTCTGGTGGGGAGTGGAGCGAGACCACCGGCTGGTCCCTGAACTCCGAGACGACAGGGGCATCCGAGGCTGCCTCCCTCCCTCCTCTTGCCCCGGGCTGGGACACACCCCGCAGCACCCAAAGTCAGAAAAGGGACGTGCCCATCCTCCCCCTCAGCTGCCCTGCCAGGTCTGTCGGGCCGGCGTGCTCCCGCCACCTAGTGGCGGGTCCGTGCTCCTCACCTGGAAGAGCCACTGAAGCAGGGCCACAGGGCAGTCGGGGGCGTGCAGGTAGAGGTTGCTCAGGAGGCCCGTGCGCAGGAAGGAGAGCTGCTGGGCCAGTGGGCAGCTGCAGAGGCAGAGGAGTGAGGTCGGGGTGGGTGGGGGGCCCTCCACGCAGGCGGCCCGGCAGCCTTTCCTCAACACGCCTGTCTCAGTAAAGCGGCGGTGGGGGGGGGGCGGGGGTGTTCCATATTTGCAGCCTCACCGGACGCCGGAATCATGACAGCACCTGCTAGGGACACAAACGCTTAGAGCCCCTGATGCCAGAAGCTGTCAGAAGGAAAAACAGCCCACGCCATCGCCAGAATCACTGGATCTCCATGAACATCTCTCAGTGTTTTAAGCACACGACTGGACAGTACGTTTTGTCCTCTCCCCGTGGCGGAGGGGGACACGAAGGGATTTACCGAGGTCGCAGGAGGAACCTGTGGGGAGGTGAGGAGAGAATCCGGGAGTCACGGCTCTCAGCCCAGGGCCCCGGGCCGCCATGGACAGGCGGAATTACCCGCCGGGCCCACGTGGGGCCCGAGTCTGGGGTCTGGTTACACAGAGCGTTTCTGCCCCGTCTTGTGTTTTTCCGACACAAAGGACACCTGAGAAGACGGGAAAATAACAGAAAGGGGCCCAAGACTGAGCCGTTCTGGGAAGGAAAGAACAAACAAGGGTGCCGCAGAGGATTCTTCAGAAACCGCGGGAGGGGCAGAGTTGGGGGGCGGGGGGGTGTCACTGAGACTCGCCTCCCGCCTGGGCTCCTACCCTGCGGTTCCCCTCACGACGGGACCCTGCTGGGCCTCTCCCTGCTGCCCTGAGCTCTCAGAATCAAAGGGCCAGCGTGCAGAGGAGCCTAGCTTTGAGTCCTCGGCCGCCCGCCCCCTAGACCGTCGGGACAAGCAGGATCCCAGGTCCCTGTAAAAGGAGTTGAAATGATTCATGTGGTCGTAGGGCCTGTGGTGGAAGGTGCTGGAGAAGTCACTTCAGAGTGGCTGGCTGGACTTCATCACCCTTCCTGGTTACCCCCAGGGAGGCTGGGTTTGGGGAAGGCGGCTCCTACTCTCTCTGCATTTTGTGAATGTTCCTCTTTGCTCTCTTGTTCTAGATGATGTTCCTAAGGCAATGAATAGGGATTCTAGGAAATGAAAAAAGTAATTTCAGGTCTGTTCTTTTTTTTTTTTTAATGGCCAAATCCACACAAAGAACATTTCAGACAGCGTTTAAAGTCATGACACTAGATAGAAATTTCTTCAGTCAGTCCAACCTCTTCTCCTTTTTAAAAAGGACGTATTTTAATCTGCCAGGAACAGAATGCTCCAAAACAAAGATTCTCCTCTGAGCCAAGTTGCTGTCTCCTTGAGTATGTCCAGGCAGTTTACAAATTGTATATTTTTTTCCAAATTATTTAAGTTCAGAGGAGAAAGCAGCTTTGTTCCTAGGTCTGTGAAGCTGACCGCTCTAAAATAGACCTTTATTTGTGCATACGAACACGTGTGCACCCCAGGGCTGCTGGCGCACTCTGCTCTAATTCACGTGCTCCGCCACACAGACACTTCATGGGCTGACCCTGCAATGCATGCGCGGTTCAAGCACAGCACCCCAAGTGCAGACAATACCCCAGTGAACAATGCCTGGAAGACCTCACGGACTGGCAGGTCTTGGCCAGGGGCCATGTGGCAAGGAGGCTGGTGCTCCAGGGACTCTAAGGAGACTCCAGCTCTGGCATTCCGCTCAGGGGGGGCACCCCACCACTTTCTCAGTAGGAGAACTGATTGTACAAGCCCCTGTGGGCTCAGATCAACACATTTCCAACTGCTGCTCCAAGGGAGAGCTACCCTTCGGTTGCAACGTCTCCTTTTGGCTACCCCAGCCTCGCAGCTCAGTTTCTGCCAGAGAAAAGATCAGTCTGCCTTCAAGTTCATTGCTGCCCAGGGAGGTTTGGCCTGTAAGGCAAAGAGCAGGAGATAGGCAGGAGGGGTCCAGCTAAGCCTTGAAGCGAATGGCTTTCAAGGAATTCTGTGCTTAGAGCTCCATGAGATGCAAGGAATCTCTGTAGGCTGCTGGATCCCAAGCTGAGTGCTGCTTCACCTCAGGGGAACCACGAGCCTTCTCACCTTCAATGCAAGGGACAAGGCTGATTGCACAGACCTTGCCCTGATCTGCGGCAGGAGGGGAAGCCGGGAGGAAAAGGGTGGGCAAAGTGGGTGTGTGCACTGAAAGCTCAAAGACCTTGGGTTACAGAATCACTTGTTAAGTTTGCAAAAACCCACTTCATGTCCACAAGCCAAGAATGCGGACATGGGGCCCAACTGGGTGCTTTGCCTTTTGCAAAGCCAATGCTAAGTCAGAAGCCATCCTGAGAATGTCAGAGGACCCGGGGGTGAGAAGGGGAGGGACAGAGCCTTCTGGGCAGCAGATGCCACGCAGGCCTGGCTGGGCGAGAAGCCCCAGCTGTCCACTCTGAGGATCCCAGTAAGAGAGGTTCCCACCTGGGATGAGAGACCGTCACGGTCAGAATACTGCTAACCCCCAGCCCCCGTGGCGAGGAGAGGGGGATTAGCCCCAAAGGGGAATCAAACAAAACACAGGCCAGCTTGGGTCAGCAGGTTGGGCTCTTGGGCAGAGCTGTGACCTTCTACTTGGACTGTGTGTTCCCGATGATGCCCAAGTCAACATTCCTCTAGGCTCTCTATCTTCATCTATTTTTTGGGCAGCAGTCCTGGAGGGTAAAGGATCCAAATGCCTTGGGAATCCCAAGTGATGGCAGAGGGATAAGCACCAAGTGTAGTTATTTATACGGTATCAGTTTCTGTGTCTTTGCCAAGTTCCTCAAATGCAAGTTTAGGGAGAACAGAAAGGAATAATGGTCAGAGCTTTCATCCATGTTCCTCTTTTTCTCTCTTTCCTTTGTTTAAAGATGAGTGAGCACCCTTCGGGTCAGGAGTCCAGGGATCCCAGCAACACCCCGGCTGGCTGCATCTACTGGCTCTTTATTTTGGGGGGCAGTTGGAGCCAGTTGGGCCCTCAGCTCTGTCCACACTCTCTGTAACTGCTGGATTTATTTCACCCGGGCCTCAACCCCGGCCTGCCAGTGAGACGGGGAGACAGAAGGGACCCCATGAGAAAAAAAAGCGTTTTTTTTTTTCCCTTTTGCTTCTTATCCTGTTTCTGTTCTTGCTAGGACCTGCACCCCCACCTCACTTTACACATGCCTGGTAATGCAAATAGCCTATGTCTTCCTTGTAAGGGACAAGGAGTTAATGATCTCTAGAATAGATACCACCTAAGGAGGGACCAGGTGAGAAGGAGGGGAGGAAGCCATCATATGCGTATTTTAGACCGCGGACTGGACATCTGGACACGAAGACCCCCTGGCTCCAAGGAATAACACCTGGGCCCTCGTCTTTGTTTTAACTGGTTCCTGGATGTCTGAGGAGACACATACATGAGGCCACCATCCTCAGTAAAAAACTCAGATCCCGAACAAAGATGAGACTTCCTGCTCTTTTCCTTTCCCACTGGTCTGGACGCTCCATCTGTGTCTCTCTCTATAGATTTTCACTAAACTCTGCTTTTACCTTCTGCTGGCTCACATCTGATTTCCGTCCTGTGTGAAGCCAGGGACTGTTTGGCTGGTCCTGAGGGAACCCCCCACTCCCCCCACCCCCCAGGTCCTCGGACCCGCCTGCCAGCAACACCAGGAAGAGGAAGAGGTCCTGGCAAAACCGGAGCCCGAGCTCAGCCTCAGGGAGACCCAGCGCACAAGCACACGGACATCCACACGGCTCAGACCCACCCGCCGCCTCCTGCCCGCAGACGTGTTCCTGGAGGAAGGGCTCTCTGAGCACACACGGTGAACACCTCTCCAGAACAGTGGCGGACAACCCCCCCCCCCACTCCAGCGCACTCTGTGGGGGCCCAGAGAGGACCATGAATCATTCAGCAGGCAATCTCCAGCCTTCCCAGGGAGATTACTCTGGCCTCTGAGCTGCATGTGGGCATAGGTCCCAACGCTTCTCCACTCAGGGGGATCGGATTTCCTTTTGAACGGCTGTCAAGGGAGGAAAAAGTTCAGCCCTTGGTACCAGCTTCTGTCATAAAGGCATGTGACTTTGGTTCCAGGGAACTGACCTGAGGTCACACATCCAGCTGGGTGATGAATGAGGGCAGACCGGCCAGGCCATCTCGGATCCCGGGGCTGTGGGCTCCAGGAGACGTGTTCTTGCACAGAAACCTGTGTAGGTGTGGCCCGGGAGGACGAGGCCCAGAGCCCAGGCGCTGAGGTCTCCCGCACCTGCCCTGCGCCCCATGCCAAGAGCACCCACTTTGGACTGCGGGAAGATGACACCCTTCCTCCCAGACGGGCAAGGAGACCTGATCTATTTCCAGAGGGGGTTCTTAAAACTCGCATTCACATTTCCCCCTAAAACCTCTGTTAAAAATGAGACGGAGTCATAAAATACAGAAGAGTGTAATAAGGAAAATAAAAGTTACCTGTAATCTCACAAAGTGTTAACTTTTTGTACGGCAAAACACTGAACCCTATTGCCTCTTGAGAGATCAAGTAACCTTTTATTTTCCCTTCGTCTTCATGCTTCCGGCCGAACACAACGGGGTAATTATTGAACCGCTATTTCCCTCTCTTGTGTCTGGGCTTGAGGTCCTTGGCACAAACAGGAAATAAGAGTGACCCCAAGGCTAAATGGTGACCTTCAGGAAGTGGCCCCTACCCACTGCGTAGCAGGGGCCCCCCGACCGGACCATGTGGAAGGCAGCGGGCATTCCTCCAGAAAGGCCCTGGGCTCCGGGCTGGCGAGGTCGCCTCTCCGGTCCCTCATTAGCATACTCGAGGGAGGAGGGTCTGAATTCCTCACCCCGGGGGAGCTGGCCGGCCACCTGGCCCCATTTGGCAGGGCTGCTCGGCCCCCAGGTCACCGCCGCGGGGGCCCTGTCGTCTGTCAAACACTTCCTGCCGGCCGTCCAGTCTGGGACAGGAACTCTGCTGTCACACAGACCGCGGCCTGCGAGGCAGCTCTGCCAGACGCCTGCCTCTCTCCTCTCCTCTCTCCTGTTCCTTCCCCGCCCCTCCCTTTTCTCCAGCGCCACTATCCTTTTCTCTTCAACCCTGGTTTCTTTTTTCCCCTTTTCATCACCCCTTTATGAGACACCTTCTCAGCATGGCGACGGCAGCCTTTACCAATATGCAGACGCTCAGGTCCAGTCCCCGCACGTCGCTTCCGGGGCTACGCTCCAGACAAATATCTGTGTATGAAGATGTTCTCTACCACATCGCTTATAAAAAAGCTCGAAGTAACATATATGCTGAGGAAAATGGTTAAATATGTTGAGGCATCAATGCTATGCAACGTTCTCTCACCATTCACATTACGACTAATGGTGACCTTAGGGCCTTGTTCAGATCCTGACTTGAACAACACAGAATACACATTTAGAGGACGACTGGGGAAATCTGAACACCGACTGATAGCAATGGTATGAAGGATTTGTAGTTTTTAGGTGGAATAATGGCATTTAAGTTATATCTAAGGATAGAGTCCTATCTTTTAGAGACAGACACTGAAGTACTTACAGATTCAATTAAATGTGTCTGGGATTTGCTTAAAAATAATCCTGAGGGGATAATGTTAGTGGGCAGGGGTAGAGATGGAACAGGATTGGCTTTGAGCTGATGGTTGCCGAAGCTGAGTGATGACTATATGGGGAATCATTACACTGTGCTCTCTATCTATACTTGAAACTTCCCATGATATGAGATGGCTTTAGAATTAGTGAAACAGACCTAAGGAAGCCCTGAATAGCTGGAAACCACCAAGACTCCTGCTTTCAAGAGACCAGAGATAGTTCAACCTCTGTGCTCCCCACGGGCTGGTGCGGGCCCGGCGGCCTCCTCCCCATCCCCCTTGGCCACCAAGGCCCAGCAGGGCGTCGGCCTCATGAGCACGAGTGGTCAGCTGCACTGAGTCCTGCGGGCTTTCTCTCTTAATCTCAGATAGATGAACTCACAACTCCAAGTGTTGGATGTGATTGTGGTCAAGCTTTTAAAATCCCCTTAAAAAGCAACATAGCCCATGGCTGCGTGATAACGTAAATTTCCTTCCACAGAGTCGAGCCACGGGGCAGATGTCCTAATGTTACACAGTGTGCACTTAGGGCCGGGGACAAACTTTTCAGTGTTAGTATCACACACGGACAGGAGAAGGGTGGTGTCTCCAATGAGCAGATGGAAGTGACGATGACGTGCTTTGGAAAACTGCTGGATGGCCCAGAAAGCGGCTCCAGTGTTGAGGGAGACATCACCCCAAAGGCATGTAATGGTGAGTCTGACTACAGTTGTTCTATGAAACTGGGGTGCGGGGGAGGAAAAAGCAATATGAATACATAAATATACAACCGACCTAATATTTACGACAATGTAGGGCTTTTTAAAAGTATGTGCATCCAAATCAGCAAATTAAATATCATAAGCAGACATGTGGGACTATTTCATCCCACAGTCCTGAAAGCTGACCTATCCAAACTGGCTCAAGTACAGCTTTGAATTTCCTCATTTGGGCCAGTCCTTATCATTGGGCTCCATGAGGGACCAGGCCTGGCCATCCCATGCCGACATTTACCTGACGAACAGTTCTTCCAGGTGGCTACGTGGCTTCAGCTGTGAACGGTCCAGGAGGCAAGGCAGGGGCTGACGCCTGGGTAGAAACACAGTCTCCCCAGGATGTACCGGTGGGATGACCTGCAGTGACACGGAGAACCTCTCCACCAGCATCCTGGCAAAGCAAGGAGCCGGAGAGGCGCGTGTCAGCAGGCGCACCTGGTCTGTAGCCTGGAGGGAGGCCAGGGAAAGCCAGATGGTGCCCCTGCCTTGCGACGGTGGCCTGGTGGGGAGAAGACTCGGGGGAGGACAGCGCCACCTGCTGGTAAAGGAGGAGCCTACGAGATGCAGACTCAGGAGCGCTTCCCCATCCCACTCTGCGTCCTGCATCCCAGCCCCTTCCTCAGGGCTTCAGGAGCCAGAAGTCCTGCTCCCAAACCCAGCACCGCCCATTGCCTTTGTTCAGCTCAAACTTTCACTGAGCACCCACAATATGTGGGTGCCAGGTGCTGAAGGATGAGTCAGGCGTGGGCTGCCATTGCATGTCTAGGAGAAGGGTAAATAAATCACCACAGTAGCCTTCAGCAAATGGGCTGACCACAAAACTGCCTACATGGTCTGCCAGGGGCGGAGGAGAGAAGCTCTGGGTGTGGCCAGGGTCAGGGAGGGCATCCGCCCAAGGAAGGAGCCTGGATGTTTCTTCTGGGACACCAGTCCTCAAGCTCTTGTGATCAGGAGGACTCCCCAGGGATGCCCAGATGCCCAGGCCCTGCCTTGTGAGTCTGATTAGTAGATCAGAGCTGGGTCCCCTGGACAGGGAAGGAACAGAGAGAAGAAGGGATACATTCTAACTCTACTGGGAGGGGTAAAAATTGTCAGGATTGAATGACCCATTTAAGAGGGAGTGGGGAAAAGGGAGGCAGTTAAGACAATTCCTAAGAACAGAAGTGTGTGTGTGTGTGTGTGTGTGTGTGTGTGTAGAGGTATACACACAGACGTATGCACACACACGTTCTTAGAAACATGGAACAGCCCCCCACACACACCTGACGTGCCCAGCTATGGGCTGGAGTCATCCCTAGGGGATAGGATTTGGGGGAGGGGGCAGAAGAGACATTTCCTGTTTACTTCCTACAACTGTGTTCTGCTTGATTTTGTGGAGACAGAACACACATTTGACAATAAAAACAGCAAAAGAGAACAAGCTACAAGCACTGCATCCCTTCCTGTCACCGGAGGACGGTGAACTCGGAGCGGGAGCAGCACTCAGGGCTCCTGTCGGGGTCTGGGACACAAGCAGCGGCTGCTGGAGGCGGGGCAGCTGGCAGCCCACCACTGGCCCCATGAGATTTGTCTCGCTTTCTGGCCACCGACCCGAGAACAGGTGCCGATGTTCATCACAGGGCTGTCCGGAGGCTGAAATGGCACATGGTATGGAAATGACATGAAAACACCGGGGAGCTTCTGCTCCTGTGGGTTTTTTGCAAGCGGCCTGTGCAAACCACCACACAGACGGGAAAACATTCTTCTGTTTTGTTCATTGCTTTGCCATTTCAGCTTTTGAGGATCTATGGCTTATGTTGCTCGTATATTAAGGAAAAGGTGCAAATTATTAAAAGTCTGTAGGAATTAGGCTCATCTGTAAAAGGGTCTTAGTCTTGTCCCCCAAACCATCACACAAAGGGACTTTTGTGATACTAAATATAACGTATGTGCATTATTAAGAGTTCTGAGATGACTCTTCCACGTCTAATTGGGGATTTCCTGTGCAGCCCCAAAGTGAGGATAAAGGATGATGTTAGGGTTGAAATATTCCCCCCTCCCCTGCCCCAGCACACACACACACAGTCTTTTAACTTTAAGAAATACAGAACGTAGGATGGCATCCATTCAAGATGCAAGCCAGTCCTTAGAGCATGAGGGGATGCTGGGCTCTGGGTACTTGTGGGTCTCTTCCACGGCGGGCATCCACGGCAGGCGTGTGACTCCTGGTCACAGACAACTGCTCTGGCAGATGGTGGCTGGCCCCCAGCCGCAGCCTCACCCCTTCCAGACCCACGTCCTTCCTTGGCCCCATTCAGGGATAGAAGAAGCTGCTGGCTTTGTGTATCAGTGAGTAATTTTCTTTGAAGCAGAGAGTCGAACTGTCCCATCAAAATGATCCCACATCAAAACCACCACCTCAAAGTGGCTGTTGTCAAAAAGGCTTTCTCAAAGTACTACTTGAAAATGTCAAGTGCCCAGAAAATCATCGGCGATTTCAGAGCCTGGGACACCTGGCTTAAGCCGGTTCCCTAGATAACTCCCTTTCTGTGGGGAATTTCAAAACACCCAAGTCATGACTTCCAGAAGCCTGGATGCACTCAGTAGAAACGTCAAGAGCTAAAATCGTTATTCTTGCTACTGAGATTTTATTTTTTATTTTTTTAAGAGTTTTTATTTATTCCTTTGAGAGAGACAGAGAGAGTACAAGCAGGGGGAGAGGCAGAAGCAGGCTCCCCACTGAGCTGGGAGCCCGATGTGGGGCTCGATCTCAGGACCTGGAGATCATGACCTGAGCTCAAGGCAGACACTTAACCATCTGAGTCACCCAGGCTCCCCGCTACTGAGATTTTAAAGAGGGTTTAAAAGGTTTCATTCCAAGGTTACGTATCCATTGAGTAGGAAACCTGGAAACAAATCCATGAGACCCGACTTAGAGAGACAACTGTTTTTATCACTTATGATGCCACCAAGGCACTCTTGCCCAAAGAGGCCTTTAGCCCAAACCCAGTGCTTCCACTCAGTCTCCACATCCGCCCTTCTGGGTTCGCTGTGCGCCCTGCATGGCACCCCTTCTCTGGGCCTCTAGGCAGCATGTTAGTAGCTCTCCACCTATGTGGGATGGCTCTTCTAATCCGAACACTCACAGGTGTTCACAGTGGAAAGTATCAGTGAGGAGGCTGGGGTCCTCCTAACCAAGGCCACGGGTCAGCAAACTGCCGTCTGTGGCCAACCCCTGCCCATTGCTGTAAACAAGGTTTTATTGCAACATAGGCATGTTTATTCACTTATGTATTGTCTATGGGAGCTTCCCTGTTACAACAGCAGAGTTGAGTGGTTGCTGCCACAGAGACTGCATGGCCCTCAAAGCCTAAATATTCACTATTTACAAATACAGAGTTTGCTAATCCCTGATCGAGTCCAGAGATGGTTATCAGAAAAACTTGAGGGAAAAAAAGCAAACAGCCAGCCACAGTGATGTTCATAACCATCTCTGGGCAATAAAAACAATGTAAACCATTTGGGGGTCCTAAAATGGAAGCCCCAAAGAAGTCTGTAGGTTGTCACTCAACATTCCCTTAGTAAGTGGAAGCAGAATGCTAACTTAGAGTGTGCACAAAAACTTGACCTATCACTGCTTAGACCAATGCTTAATAGCCTAACTCAGGCTGACAGAAAAAAAAGGCAAGCCTGGACAGGCAGATGATCTAGGGCATGTTCACCAACCTGCCCTCAGCCACATGGCTGAGGTGACCTCATCCCCTGCAGTCCACCCCAGCCCCTCTGCCGCACTTGGTTCCTGAGGGAGGGAGGGAAGGAAAGAGGGAAGGAAGCAAGGGAGGAACCAATTAAAAGAAAGAAAAGAAAGGGAGACATACAGAAAGATCTATCCTGACTCTACTTCCCCCTTCAGCTACTGCACATTTTTCTCTTTCGACCTCTCCTCCTGTTCTCCTATGGGCCTGTTCCAGTCATGTTCACCCCCAGCACTCCACCAGAGCTGCTCTTGTCAAGGTCACCGTGACCTCTACATTGCCCCCTTGAGCCCGTTTTCTCTCTAAACTTGCTCTCCAGGTGAGCTCATCCAGTTTGTGGCTTTAAACGTCACCTTGGTGACTCCTGCGCCTGCCTTTCCGAAAGAGGGGATCCAAGACGTCTCCTTGGTCTCGCCTCGGGATCCCCCAAATGAACTCTTGACCTCACAAGTGCCCCCACTACAGCCTTCGTCACTTAAGTCTTCCCCAGTTTAATTACACAACTCCAACCTTCCAGGTGCTCAGGCCCAAATCCTGGGGGGGTCCCCTCTGATTCCCCTCTTTCTCCCATACACTCCATCCAGTTCATCAACAAATCATGTCAGTTCTACCCTAAAAATATATCCAGACTGTGCCTACTCCTCACCACCCACCCTCCCTCCCAGCCTCTTACTTCTCAGAGGATGACTGCCATGGCTCATTTGCCCCGTCTCCTTTCTTCTGCCCTTGCACGCCGCCCCCCTCCGCCCCAGGCTCCCCAGTTTATCCTTGACATGGCGGCAGAGGATCCTGTTCAGAGCGGTGGCGGCTAGCTCACAGAGAGGAGAAGCTCATGCATTGAGCCCACTCTTGGCCTCCCTGACCTCCTCTCCCCAGCCCTCCCCTCCATGGCTGCCGCTCTGCTCTCCCTGCAGGGCCCCCAGAGCTGCCTCTCATCTCCTTCACAGTGCCCTGCTAGAAGCCAGCCACCTGCTCATCGAGGTCTTCCCTGATCCTTATGCACAATCTCACAGGCCTTCCATGCTCCTCCCGCCCCCTCTCTTCTTTATCCTCTCTCCTGAGCACTTGTTACCTCTCTTCGCTCAGGAGGACAGAGATTTCTGTCTGGTTTTGCTTTTGCTGTATCCCCAGAGTCTGTAACCGAGCCTGGTACAAAGTTGGACTCGGTGGGTGTTTGCTGGTTGGCTGGCCGGACAGACAGTTGGATAGATGGATGGCTAACCGGGTACCCTGATGATGGATTCAACTGTGGTCTCTCGGTGTCTCTGAGACCCTGTAGTACAGATGAGACCAGCCCTCCCTCCAGCCAATGGCCCACTTAGATCATGGCCAGCAGACACTTCCCTCCCCTCATGACAGCACTGACAAAAGCCACCTTCTTTTCCCCGGGTGGCGGGGGTGGGGGTGATGAAAAATGTCACATGGCCACATTCTCCCCTTTAAAGACAGTTTTCTCTTAGACTGTGGTTTTGTAGAGTTACTTCCCCCAAGAGACCTGGTTCCATAAATTTGGGTGGACAGTTGGGGCCGAGTAGGCTGTGTTTTCCTTTCTCTGCATCCTCAAAGGCCCACACTGAACCCTGACACACAGTAGATGATCCAATATTTCTGGAATCAATGAATGAATGTAGGGGTTTTCTTGAATGTTGGTTTAAGAAAAGGAGGCAGCTTGGGCGCCTGGGTGGCTCAGTCGGTTAAGCGACTGCCTTCGGCTCGGGTCATGATCCCGGAGTCCCGGGATCGAGCCCCAATCGGGCTCCCTGCTCAGCGGGGAGTCTGCTTCTGCCTCTGACCCTCCTCCCTCTCATGTACTCTCTCTCTCTCATTCTTTCTCTCAAATAAATAAATAAAATCTTTAAAAAAAAAAAAGGAGGCAGCTTGAGAACTTATAAATACATACAGATTGCTGGTTGAAATTCTGTCTGAAAATGAGAGCCAGTCAACACTTAAATCCTCTGCCTTGAGAGGCAGGTGCGTGGACTAGCCCCCCCCCGCCCCCACAAGCGGCCAGGCCCTTGCACCTCTCCTGCCCACGTCTCCCACCTGTGCTCAGGTGTGAGCGGCGCTTCATCCTCATCCAGATCCAGGGAGCTGAGGTGGGGGCGATGCTGCAGAAGCACCTGCTCTCGCTCCAGGGCCTGGTCCCTGCGGGGAGCAGAAAGCCAGTAACAGAGGTCAGCACTGTCCCCAGTCAAGCGACCCAGGCACTGGGCTGCAGACCCTGTGAACATGTCAAGGCCTAGGAATAGGGACACTTCCCTGCACTCCTGTGTAAAGGCCCTCAACATGAGACCTGGGTGGGGCGGGGGAGAGGCATCACATCACATCAACTGTGCTGTCTGGTTAAGCGGACAGGAGCAGACAGGCCTGAAGGAAAATTTTCACCACACAACTTCAAACCCGCCTTTGTGTACCTTGTTTAGGATGTGCCCACTTTTTTTTTTTTTGTAAAGATTTTATTTATTTATTTGACAGAGAGAGACATAGCGAGGGAGGGAACACAAGCAGGGGGAGAAGGAGGGGAGAAGCAGGCTTCCCTGCGGAGCAGGGAGCCCGATGCGGGGCTTGATCCCAGGACCCTGGGATCACGACCTGAGACGAAGGCAGACGCTTAACGACTGAGCCACCCAGGCGCCCCAGGATGTGCCCACTTTTTGACACATCCGGGCCTGTGCTTAGCCTCTTCTCCTCCTCCCAGGGCCTGGCCACACTGACCTGGAGAGGCCCCCCAGGCTCATGGCTCCCAGAGCCCCTGACACACGGCCTGCCTTTCCGGCCCCAAGGGCAGCCCTTCCAGGTCCTGCTCATTTCCTTTTCTCCCTACACTTTGGTCTCCAGCCTCAGAGGCCTGTCCCCACCACAGCCCTGCACGCCAACCATTATCTTGTTGGAATCCTGACTCCCTCACCTCCCTCCCGCCCGAAACACACAAACCCCTGAGCAGGCACTGTCCACCTTCGGCTTTCTTGATCCTTGGTTCCTCAACAGCCTGGGAGCCTCCCCAGCTGTTGCCCTGCCCCTCCAGGTGCTTGCCCTAGCTTTGCCCAAAGGTCCTCAGTTCTTAAAGACTTTGCCTCCAGTCCAGGCTGCCATCAGGAGTTTGGATCCTCCCAGCCAGTGACAACTGAATGGTTTCCAGCTGAATGTGCCCGGACCTCTCCAAAGCCACATGTCTGGGTCTGAATTCCCTTCCACGCAGGCTCCAGAGTCCCAGCCACCCAGGTCAGCAGACTTATCATAGCCCCAACTGCCTTCCTCCCAGGGCCCCACCCCATCACCGTTCACCCTACTTCCTCTCTCCCCATTCCCATCCATTCTCCATAATGCAGCCTAAGTGATCTCTGAAACACAGCGGGAAACACATCACTACCCACTGAAAATTCTCCCAACTCAACCCTGTGTTCATGAGGCCTCTCGTGACCCAACTCCGGTTCACATCTTGGCTGCACCTCCTGCTATGTCGACCCCCAACCCCCACTCCCCAGTGCCGAGAATTCCAGTTCTAGTCGGCCGCCAGAATATCTGTCATACCCACCTTCACATGTGTGGTCACCCAGGACGCCCCCCCCCCCAAATCTCCTAATTCTCCTAGGTTCAAAGATAAGGATACCTGTGGGGAGCCTTTCCTGACCCCCAGGTTAAATGAGGTGCCAGTATTCCAGGCCCCTCCACAGCCACTTCACAGCATGGGAAATACCAGAAGCATGAGGATGCATGTCCAGGCGAGCAGGGCTGCCCCATCACCTCCACGTATCCAGTGCCTGGCGAGGGCCCAGTAGAGCAAGAATCTCCCAGTGCCGGGTGCCCTGATGACCTTTACTTGCCCACACCACCGGCGTGGCAGGGCTCAGGCTGTACACCTCCGTCAGGGCCACCTGCCTTTTCCCCTTCTCGCCCATGGAACGCTTGAACGGGAGCCAAGAGGCCCCCACACGGGCATGAACTGGGCAGAAGAGAGCAAGGGATACCCCCTGCATCCCACCCACACCAACCCAAGATTCACAAGCCCCCCTGAACGAGGGTTCTGTATGTGGCAGAGGTCTGGGGCTTTCTGCCTTCCAGATGACCCCCTTTGACCTGACTACCGTTCCCCGTGCTCACTATTAATCAGAGCACACAGGGTGCTCCAGGAGACACGCTGTGATGGAGTGTGCTCGATCCTGATGGGAATGTGCTAGACGTCTTAGAGGACAACCCCCCCAAATCGCTGCCAACCCCACAGAATGAAAACCCCACGGTGGACCTCTTCCCACACTCACCGCTTCTCCTGCAGTAAGTAATCCAAGCTATTGACGTAGCTCTCTGAGGCCCCAAAGGTGAACTGGAGAAACAGGACGTGAGAATGGGGGACAGAGAAAAAGACAGAGAGAGGGGGGGAGAAGAATAAAATTAATCTAAATTAAGCCCTTTATTTATCTAGTTTATGTTTCTGAATAGGCAATACCCTCACATGATTAAAAACTCGGGAAGTATAAAAGCATGCGGTAAGCTGTCTCCCCGCACCTGCATCCCCAGCCACCCAGGGCCCTCCTCACAGGTGTTCACTCCTCTGTGTGCTTTCAGAGACATTTTATCCACAGACAAGCAAACAGTCATACATCACAGACTCCCCCCCAACCATAACGCATATGGTAGCAAACTATGAACCCTATTCTACCCTTGGCTCTGTTCAATTAATAGTGTGTCTTGAGGGTCATTCCATATCAATACTAAAAAGATAAGTTAAAAAAAAAACACTTTCAGGGTACTCTAATGTAGGACTAGAACATAATGTATTAATTCCCTAGTGGTAGGCATTTAGATTATTGACAATCTTGGGCTATTATAAATAATTAAGACCAGGGATGCCTGGGTGGCTCAGTCGGTTAAGCGTCTGCCTTCGGCTCAGGTCATGATCCTAGGGTCCTGGGATTGAGTCCCACATTGGGCTCCTTGCTCAGCAGGAAGCCTGCTTCTCCCCCTGCTTGTGTGCTGTCTCTCTGACAAATAAATAAGGTCTTAAAAAAAAAAAAAGACTTCCCACAAGAAGAAAAAACTTCTACTTAAAAAGAAAACCAAACAAAACAGATAATTAAGCCCTATTCTCAAAATAAATTTCCTGGATCCATGGGCCCCTAAGTGTTCCTAGTCTACCTAGCAAGAGCTGTTTATTCCCACCCAGCTTAAAGTTCATCATTGAAGTTTCCATTTAGACATTCCAATCCACTGGACCAGAGTCAGCCCGAGTCTTAGTGCCTGGCCTAACTTAGACCCAGGCACCAAGGTCCCCCTTTCCCCAAGGGGATAACCTCAACCTTAGGCACAAAAGCCTTGAAGGCTCCCATACAGAAGCAGCATCAAATTTGGCACCACCCAAGCCATCTGTTAGCAGAGGTTAGCAGCAGAAATAAGGGGAGAGATGCACCCCAGCCACAAGGGTCCAAGGGCTGGGGAGAGGTGGGGGGTATGTGGTTGAGGAGGGATAGTTAGGGGGAGGTGGCCGATGAAGGGCAGTTGGGGTACGGCCAAGGAAGAGTGGCCAAAAAGGGAGTGGCCAGGGGGTGACTGAGGAGGGGCAGCAAGGAGAGGAGGCCGGGGGCGCCGCTGGCTTACCAAGCTGTGGGTGTCCACCACTGGAGCTGCAGCCTTCTGGCTCGGGCCTGCCATGTTCCAGAACGGCTCCTCCAGTGAGGCCAGACTCCCCTGGGGGTCCGAGTCCTGGGGCTCCTGCTCTAACTCCTCAGGCAGCTGGTGGGCCCATGTCCTCAGGGCCTGTGGCCCTGCCACACCCACCCACCTCGGGGCTTGGGCCCCCCTGCTGGCCGGCGGTACCCTCAGGTTCAGGAACTCAACAGGTGGCGGGCTCCAGTCAGTGGGGAACATGTTCCTGGCTGCATGCACCTTGGGCTTCTTTGACAATGTAGGAGTTGGAGCTGAGGCAGGACTGCTGGAGCGCCGGGTGGGGTGGAGGAGCCCCTCATGCAGGGGATGGTCGAAGCAGCTGCCCTTCAGGCTGGGCAACAGGAGGGGCGCCACTTCCACTTCCTGGACCCCTATGGATAGGACAGAGTATTGTGGTACCCCCACTCACCCACCACCATCCTGGCCACTGTGCCATGCTGCATGAGGAGAGGGGGCAACTCCAGATTGATGTGGGCAGGGGAATGCGAGGGGAATCCCTCAACCGTGGGTTGTCCGCTCCCTCATGGCCTCAGGCCTCAGAACAGCTCTACCTGTGCAGGTGAGAGACACCTACCTTCGTTCTGAGGAAGGGCTGACGCAGTCTTCTCAGGCCCGGCCATCTGCAAACTGCTGGACTTTCTGTCCTGGAAGGAACTGTCTGTCAGGTGACGTGAGCCGCCAGAAGAAAGCTAAATGCTCTGAAGTTCTAGGTACCCTATGGAAGAGGGCCTGGGCCCACTGGTGCCCAGGAGGGAAATCCCCCTCCAGCTCTACCCTAAGGACCAAGCACGTGCACCATGAAGACCAAGTTGCTGAGGTGAAAGGGGCTCAATGTGACCTCTCATTTCAAGGATGGGATAGACAAGTGTATGGACATCAACTTTTTTTTTTTTTTAAACTTTTATAAAATCAAAACTAGCACAGCTTAACAGAAAAGATGTGTTCTGAGATGACATTCTGCATGTCTCGTTTGCTCGGTGTCACCCCTATAAAGACTGTTTGCTCACAAGGGGTAGGCCAGGGCTCTCTAGTCCCTGTCATTTTCCCAGAATCAGCACAGACCTGGCACACAGTAGGGTTTGATGCATTTCTGTTGAATGAATGAATGATTTAAAGAGATACCCAGGGCTGACCCAAAAAGCTTTCTTCAGCGTTAGGAACTGTCCGTCTACAGCTGAGATGGATCATGCCTCACACACAGACATCTCTCATCATTTCAGGCTTAGGATCAGATAAACTGAAACGTACGTGAAAGGCTGATATCTGAATGAGCTACTTTCCAAAGGAAACAACCATTTACAAAAAACACAAACACTAACTCAACAAGTGTTCAAACCCAACCAAAGTGGAAGACATTCAAATCAATATGCCTATGAAGTATTCTTTAATCCTAATGAAATCATTAAAAAATTAAAAATTTATGATAAATGTTGATATGGCTGTGAGGAAATACATTTCTGCTGGTACTCTAAAATGGCTTATTCTTGGGGCACCTGGGTGGCTCAATCATTAAGCGTCTGCCTTCAGCTCAGGTCATGATCCCAGGGTCCTGGGATCGAGCCCCGCATCAGGCTCCCTGCTCGGCGGAAGCCTACTTCTCCCTCTCCCATTCCCCCTGCTTGTGTTCCCTCTCTCCCTGTCTCTCTCTGTCAAATAAATAAATAAAATCTTTAAAAATAATAAAATGGCTTATTCTTTTTAGAGAGCACGCTATCAATATACAAATAACTGCAAAATGTTCATACCTGGGATTAGGGAATCCCAGAAACCTGTCCCTCCACAAAAGCAATAATTAAGCTAACAAAACCTGTCAGAACCAACATTTACAGAACTCTGAAATTTAACAAGAAAGTAACAACAAGCAGGGAAAGGCTTAATGAAGAAAGAAGCTGCTAAATTTCAGTACAGTTGTGTTCTGGATTTTGAACTTACCTGACTTCATCCCCCACCCCCAGTTAAGAGGCAGCTGGTGGGAGGCTGTGTTCCTGGTGTGGCTTTGCTGGTGACAGAGAGGGTAATATAAACTCCGTTCTCAAAGAATTGTGGTTGTATGTTTTGATCTGTATCCTGGCTCCCTGAGGGATCAACTCAGGGTCTTATCTTTGTTTTCTCTCACTTGGAACTTTCTCAGGGCTGAAGTGGCCTCCTGGGCAGCATTTGCTGAAAGCATTTAAAGGCAAGTCTACCAGCCACAACTACCCGGGGCAAGGGATAACAGGTGAGGCAAGCAGCAGGGCATCTGAACGGCCTGAAAAGGAAGAGGCTGAGGAAGGAGATACACGGAGGAATAAAGATTTTAAAAACTCCCACATAAACCAGAGTCCAGAAGGCCACATGCATGCCCAGGGCTAATGCATGTTTAGGAAAGACCCCAGAAGATGGTAAATGTTAACCTCTGGCTAATCATTAGGCTCCACATAAGCAGGAAATGAAGGCGAAGGCAGAGTTGCCTAAGTAAGGCCTGCCTAAGCTTTGAGGGAGTACTCCATCACAGAACCAATCTGCAAAGACCAGAAGAGTTTTATTGTGGTGGCGGTGGTGGCATTTAAGGAATTTTCTAACTACTTACCAGTTAACCACTAAGCTTAAGGAACAGTGACTTCAGTGACCACACACAACAAATTAGTAATGTCTTTATAAAAATAGTTTAGAAAAGTCATTAAACAATCAACTACAACTCACAACCAGCAACGGCAATTCATATTGGCGGGGGGGTAGTCCTATTTTCAGGGTTACTGCATTATAATATTCAAGATGAACAATTTTCTTTCTTTTTTTTTTTTTTAAAGATTTTATTTATTTAACAGAGAGAGACATAGCGAGAGCAGGAACACAAGCAGGGGGAGTGGGAGAGGGAGAAGCAGGCCTCCTGCAGAGCAGGGAGCCTGATGTGGGACTCGATCCCAGGACCCTGGGATCATGACCTGAGCCGAAGGCAGACGCTTAACGACTGAGCCACCCAGGCGCCCCTCAAGATGAACAATTTTCAACAAAAATTACAAGGCATGCAAAGAAACAACAAAGTATGGTCCATTCATAGACCAAAAAAGAATGAAAGAAACTGTCCCTGAGGAAGCCCAGGCATTGGACTTACTAAACAAAAACTTTACATCAACTGTCTCAAATATGCTCTAAGAACCAAAGAAATGGTGAACAAAGAACTAAAAGAAACCAGAAGAGAATGAGGTCTCATCAAACAGGGACTATCAATAAAGATTTTAAAAATTATAAAAAGGAACCAGACAGAAATTCTGGAGTTGAAAAGTACAAAAACTGAAATGAAAAACTAAGCAGAAGGCTTCAACACCAGATGCAGGCTAGCAGAAGAGAGAATCAGTGAACTTTTATAGAGGTTAACTGAGACAGTCAATTCTGAGGCACAAAATGAAAAAAGAATAAGATGAACAGAGCCTCAGAAACCAGTGTGACACCATTAAGTACACCAATATATGCATAATAGGAGTTCCAGGAGTTGAGAGAGAGATGGAGATAGAGATGGCAGGGGTGGAGGGGGACAGAAAGAATACTGCACTTCCAAGAAGCTCAGAAAACTCCAAGTAGGATAAATTCAAGGAAGTCCACACCTAAATACATCATACTCAAACTGTTAAAAACCAGTGAGAGAATCTTAAAAGCACGAAGAGAGAAATGATTTATCACCTACAAGGAAGTCTCAATAAGATTAACAGGTGATTTCTCATCAACCCCAGAGATCAGCAGGCAGTGAGATGAAATATTCAAAGTGCACAAAGAAAAGACTGGGGACCAAGAATGCTGTACCCAGTAAAACTATCCTCCAAAAAATGAGAAGATGAGATATTCCCAGATAAACAAAAACTGAGAAAATTTGTTTCTAACAAATCTGTTCTGCCAGAAATACTAAAGTAAATTCTTTAGGCTGAAGTGAAAGGATATTAGAAAGTAACTTGAATCCATACGAAGAAAAAAGAACAGTGATAAAGGTAACAACATGGATATACTTAAAAGATAGTATAAATGTTGTTTTTACTTGTAACTCTTTTTCTCCTGATTTAAAAGACAACTGTAAAGCAATAATTACAAACCTGTCTTTGATGGGTGCCCAATGTCTAAAGATAAAATTTGTATGACAACAACAGCACAAAGGAGGGGTGGGAATAGAGCTATATAGGTGTGAAGTTTTGTATCTTATTGAAATTAAGTTGGTATTAATCTGAACTAGACTGTGAACTATGTGATATTTATACATAAATAAAAAAGGCAAGTACTACTATATTTTTGGTTTATAACTCTTTTTCCCCCACGGGATTTAAAAGACAAATGCATAAAACAACAATTATACATCTATGTTAATGAACACACAATGTTCAAAGATGTAATTTGTGACAATAAAAACATAAAGGGGAAGGATAGAATTGTATAGGAGCAGAGTTTTTTTTATACTATTGAAGCTAATTTAAACTAGTTTGTTATAAATTTAAAATATAAATTATAATCTCCAGGATAACCACTAATAAAATAACTTGCAAATATAGAGAAAAGGAAATGAAGAAGGAATCAAAACAATACAGTACAAAAAACCCCAATTAAACATAAAAGAAGGCAGCAATAGAGAAACTAAGGAACAAAAAAGATATAAGGTATATAGGAAACAAAATAGCAAAATGGCAGAAATATTTTCTTATCAGTAACTACTGTAAATGTAAGTGGATTGAACTCTCAAATCAAAAGGTAGATCTTGGCAAAATAGATGAAAAAACATCTGACTATACGCTATCTGCAAGAAACTCACTTTATAAACAGATAGGTTGAAAGTGAAAGGATGGAAAAGATACTCCATGAACACAGAAATCCAAAGAGAGCTGAAGTAGCTATCCTAATACCAGACAAAACAGATTTTAAGTCAAAAATTACAATGGGACAAAGAAAGCCATGACATATTGATATAAGACTCATTCACCAAGAAGGCATAATAATTATAAACATTCATGTACCTCAAAAGAGAGCTTTGGCAGAGTTGAAGGGGGAAATAGTTATAAACTGATAGTTGAAGAATTCATTATCATACTTTCAATAATGTAACCAGACAGAAGATCAAAAGAAAACAGAGGACTTCAACAACACCATGAACCAACTAGACATAAAAGGCATCTACAGAACTCTTCACTCTTCACTCTTCACAGAGCAAAGAGTATACATTCTTTGAAAGTACACACAGAATTTTCTTCAGGATAGATCATATGTTAGGCCACAAAACAAGTCTCAATAAGTTTAAGAAGATGGAAATCCTTTATAAAGTATCTTTCCTGATCATAATAGAAACTAGACATAAAAAAAAAAAGGAAAACTGGGAATTTCACAAATATGTAGAAATAAGACAACAAACTCTTAAACAACCAGATCAAGGAAGAAATCATAAGCGAAATTAAAAAATACTTGGGACACCTGGATGGCTCAGTTCATGATCCCAGAGTCCTGGTATCGAGTCCTGCACTGGGCTCCTTGCTCAGAGGGGAGCCTGCTTGTTCCTCTGCCTGCTGCTCCCCCTGCTTGTGCTCTGTCTCTCTCTCTGACAAATAAATAAAATCTTAAAAAAAATACTTAGAGGAAAGTGCAAACACAACATACCAAAACATATGGGATGCAATGAAAGCAGTGCTCCCAG